AAAAAAAAGACGATCAAGGAGTAATATTGTTAGACGAGAGGATCCACTATATATAGAGCAATAAGACTATAAGAGTGGTGTCTTTTTCTGCTGTCTGTTTCATTTTTTCCTTTTTGTTAATGGCATGAAGCCATTTGTAGACTGCCCTGGTTCTTGTGGGGTAGTAGCATTTACATCATCACATCAGCAACAGAGAATTATTGTTTCTGAGATGGTTATCTTCTCTTCCTCTATTAATATGGTGTGTGTCACCATCTTGTTCACGTTTAATATCTTCTTTGCTTTCGCCAGAGTCATTTTAACTTTCATGGTTCTACACACCATCCGTAAACGTTTTTATTGAAAAAAAAACCCAAATTTCTATAGGTTTCAGGGATTAGTGTGGACTTCGGTATGGGACACTGATTGATCTTTAGAATATCGAATTAGTTACGTTGTCGAAGTATTTTGTAACTGTATTTCTTGAGTTGTTAATTTTCAAAGGAAGTGAATTTACCATTATAAAGAAAAGAGCTCAATGCATCGTGAGACTCTAAGAAAGAAATATAGAAAGATTCAGCTGTTTTTTAACCCAAAAAAAAAAAAGAAAGATTCAGCTGTTTATGGTACCAAATAAAAAAATCCAAGACCTCTAGTCATAAAGTAGAAAGAGAATTGATTTTTTCAATATTCTTATATAATAAGACCAGGATTTTCGATATAGAAATTAAAGAAATACAAGTAAAAGATCAGATAGCTGGAACTACGTGAAGGCAGGCTTTGAATAATCCATCACCTTGATGTCTGTATATATATTTATAAAGTATACCATCGCCGATAAGAAATTTGTCCACGAGGAACATATTTTATGTCTGTAATCTACATTATGTTCTCTTCTTCATTTATTTTATTGCGGAAAATCAATAGTTTGGTTGGCATGACATGAAGTCAAAGTTACAACTTACAAATATAAAATGCATCTCCAAGTCATTATCTTTGTGCATTACGGTTCGGTCACAATTGACTTGTTCACACGGTTCTTCTAATTAATTCAGATTTCAGACAAGGTGTAATAATATCAATGGATACATTTCAATAATTTATAATATCTAATAATTCTAGAAAATTTTCTTTTATTATAAGCTAATTACCATAGTGGTTGCCAATAAAAAAAAAACTTATATACTGGAGAAGTATCTACCGATTAGATTTTATTCTTTCTCGAAGTATCTACCGATTAGATTGAAAGGTAGTACTGAGAGCTTTGAGGGATCTTACAGGCCGTCCTAGGAAATTGCCAAGTTTATTAATTTGTTTTCTTTGTTGAGAATCAGAAGAGCATGTGCTTAATTAATTCTAAACCTATAAAATGTAACCAACCCAGAGTTCGAAAAAAAAAAAAAAAACTAACCCAAAGATAGTCAATGCTCATTAGTACATGCAAACATGTGGTTGGATTTTTTTTAATACGATCTATCTTATATTGAAACAAAAGAATAGGGAAAAAAACAACTTATCAAAAAGTACGAACTTTTCATATTTAGAAAAGAAATAAGATTCTATCCGTGCGTCCGTACGAGAACTATTTTTAATTTATCAAATTTGACAATATAATTTGTATTTTTCATTTTGTTTATATATATTTTCTAATAAATGATAAAGATTTTTTGTCTGTTTATATAAAATTTGTTGCTGTTGATTTTTTTTTCATATTAATCTGAAAAGTACCACGATTATAAAAACGTCATTATGACAAGAGCAAGTCCAGCAATTACCCATTTACTTTTTGCGGATGATAGCTTATTCTTCTGTAAAGCAACTACGGATGAATGCAAGATGTTTTACAACTATTCAATCAATATGAGAAAGTGTTAGAACAACAAATAAATTTTGATAAATCCTCACTTCAATTTGGCCATACAGTACCTGAATCGGTTCAAGAGGGTTTAAAACAACTTTTAGGAATTCACAATAATGGAGGAATGGGGAAATATTTGGGTCTCCCAGAGAGTCTAGGGGGTACAAACAGTAAAAAAATTTAATTTCGTTGCAGAAAAACAACAAGACCGAATTAATGGGTGGACATCTAAATTGTTGTCTAAAGGGGAAAAAGAGGTACTAATTAAAATTTTGGTTTCAGCAATGCCTACATTTGTAATGTCATGCTTTCGATTACCTAAATCCATAACAACAAAACTTACTAGTACTGCAGCTCGGTATTGGTGGAGTTCAGGCGGTCAACATAAAGGAATGCATTGGTCAGCATGGAAGAATATGTGCCGACATAAGACAAAGGGGGGTATGGGATTTCGTACATTAGAGGACTTTAATACGGCATTACTAGCAAAACAACTTTGGAGATTAATGGACAAACCAAATTCTTTGTTCGCAAAGGTCTTCAAGGGACAATATTATCGAAAGGGAGATCCCTTGGACCCTATTCGCTCTTACTCCCCTTCATACGGGTGGCGCAGCATTATATCGGCTAGACCTTTGGTTGAAAAAAGACTAATCAAAAGAGTTGGATCCGGATGTTCGATCTCTGTATGGAATGATCCTTGGTTACCAGCTTCTCGCCCGAGGCCAGCCACATGTAAAGGGTTTAATTACTACCCAAATTTAATGGTCAACCATCTGATTGACCTGATGATAAATGCCATTATTGACCCAGCAACGTGGAAATAATCCGTGGAATACCCACAAGTAGAATCTATCGGCCAGATGTACTAGGGTGGCATTTCACGAAACCAGGAAGGTATACGGTTAAGTCTGGCTACCAAGTGGAACAACAGCACTCAGAGACCAATACAGAAATTTTCTACGGTCCGGACATAAAGGCATTACAGGCACGCACATGGAAATTGAACTGCTCACCAAAATTGAAGCATTTCATTTGGCAGGCACTATCAGGATGCCTGCCAGTGATGGCTAGGTTAAAAACTCGAGGAGTTTACTGCAATACACAGTGTGTTCGGTGTGGAGCAGACGAGGAAACGATAAATCATGTGCTTTTTGAATGCCCACCAGCACGACAGATGTGGGCTCTATCGCAGATACCCACACCTTCAGATATGTTCCATTTATCATCGGTTTACGCAAATTTTGATCATCTTTTTTGGAGAATACATGTAACGTCCCCGATCCGCAATAGGGTCGCCGGGACGGACCATGGCCGTGAGAAAGGGGAATAATGACCGAGAGTCTAATGAACACATAAGCCATGGTCCGGAATGATGGTTAAGTCTAGTTAAAGTGGGACTTAGCCGGGAAAAAGGAGAGGAAGATAGCTCAACGAGTAGGATTGAGCTAAGACGAGCTGGAAGGGGTAAGCTAACTAGCTGGATCAGCTGCCCGGAAGCTCAGCTCAGCTGGATTGAGAGTAGGACAGTTGGTCTAGCTGAGTGGCCAGTGAACTAGCTGGACTGGGGTGGTTATGGGCGGTTATGGCCGAAGGGTTGCAAAGTCTATGCGCCCAATCAATGCACCTTTTCGGCCAACAACTCGCGCCTGTTCGCCCAAAACGGTTACCGCAAGGGAAAGTCTATAAATAGATCCCTTGGGCCATATTTTTGGACACGCACAGATAGGGAGAGAAACTCTGCCCAAACTTTCACCAAATCGTGAGACAAAGGCAAACCGAGAGAGGGAAATAACTTGACCGGCGGTGAGGAAATCGACCGGAGCGGCTGGTGCGGGTCGCGGAAGAGAGAAGAGGGAAAGGTACGCGGCCAGAGTAATCGACCGCGGAATTTCTAAGGTGCGTTCTATTAAGTAGAAGCGTATGGTTAAACTATCGCACCGCCGGACGAACCGAACGATCGACCCAAGTATGGGCTAGACCGATCGAACGGTAAGCCGCGGCCGAGGCGATAAGAATCCACCGAACGTGCTGACGATCGGCCAAAGTATGGGCTAGGCCGGTCCGATCGCGAGCCTCGGTTGGATTTATAATAAAAGTCGCCGGCCATGGAATTGAGATTGGGTCGGCGATGATGCGCGAGTGGTCACACGGATATAGGCCGGATCCGGTTGGCGCGACGGTTGAGCGGCTTGGGAGTCCGAACGGATCTCGCCAAGACTCGGCCTGTCCAAGGCTGATCCATGATCCGGATTAGAATAGTTTACCGTGGGTCAAATTCGGGGTCGGGAATCATAGGCATGACATGCATACATGTGCATAAATAATACTTAGCCAAAATAGCGAGTACTTACGATGTTGGTTTACAGGAAACGATGAACGCGGAAAGGAAAGAGGATAGGCGCGCAGACCGTTTAGCCAAGGATGATGGATGGTGTGATAGAGCAGATAGTTAGGATCATACGAACTTATAATAGCTTATATGCAAACTCTTAAGTTGTATTGAATCCTTTATTATATCAATAAAACATCTGTTCTTTTACTTGTTCATTACATATTGACTCTAACTTAGTGAATCTCAGAATACACATATTGAATATGACTTAAACAAAAGACTTGACCCTAAAATTGGACTGATGGGGTCGGAGCCGTATAGCGGTCCGACCGGGAACAACTTCCACGGGCTTAGAGTCCGGGATGGGCTGTTTCAAGTTGGTATCAGAGCATGCTTGCTCCTAGGACGGTTCTGTTGGGTTTGGGGTACACCACTCATCGGCTAAAGGGTCTTGCGCTAGGTTGTTGCTTAGGCTTGTCTAGGAATCTCGGTAATAGTTAGGATACACTAACTAAATGATTTCTGCAGATGGGTAAAAGCAACAAGACGGAAAAAAGTAAAATGAATAAGGAGACGGCCGAACCAAGTCAGGCCAATGTGGAGGATCAACCTGCTCTCAATCCCACCGGACCTGAGGCTGGGGAAAGAGAGAAGAGCAACGGGAAAAGACCGATGGTCGACCAAAAGGGTCAGGAGGCGATGGATCGTGAGGACTTTGCCGAGACATCGGATTAAGGTGCTGGGAATAAGGAAGGTGCGGCGGCTGGAATGGGAAACCAGACCGCAGTACCTACGTCCGCGGAGATGTAGCAAACACTTCAGGCTATAATGACGCAACTGACGGTCCTGAGTCAGGCTGCGGCACCAGTGGGAAAACTGTCCGATGGGCAATCCACAAGGATCCGTACGGCCATTCCGATCATAGCAGAGAAGGAAGGCAGGACTGCGGAGGTGGTGGAACTCGACTCATCACCGACTAAGCCGACAAAGAAGGTGGACTATTTGGTCGTGTTGGATCACGTGGCCAGGCTTGGAACTAAGCAATTCCAGGGTAGTTCTGACCCGATTGAGGCGGATGAGTGGAGAAACCGCCTAGTCCGAAATTTTCGATCCACAAGATGCCCGGAAGATTACAAGAAGGACATTGCGGTCCATTTTCTTGAAGGTGATACACACAATTGGTGGGTATCAGTGGAAAAACGCTCAGGAGGAATTGATACTTTTGCCGAGTTCGAGGAGGAGTTCAACCAAAAGTACTTTCCTTCGGAAGCTAGGGATAGACTCGAACAGCAATTCCTGGAATTAACACAAAGAAACCGGACTGTCCGGGAGTACAAGGTGGAATTCAACTGTCTGCGATGGTGTGTTGGAGGGGAATTGGTGAAGGAGGATACACAGATCCAGCGTTTTCTCCGCGGCTTAAGAGGAGAACTCCGAACCCATTGCTCCTCACGCACCTTCAGATCGGTTGCGGAATTAGTGGAACGGGCTGCGGCTGTTGAGTCCAGCATTGAAGAGGAAAATAAAAAAAGAGCCCCGACACGTCCCAACCTGGCAAGTAAGATCGTGGATAACAGGAAACGGAAATGGGATCAGGTCGGTGAAGGCGGTCAAGCCTCGGCTAAACAAAGGGAATGTGCGACTTGCGGAAAGAAGCACGGGGGTACATGCTGGAAAATGGTTGGAGCATGTACCAAGTGCGGAAGCAAGGACCACACGGTTCAAAGCTGTCCGCGGATTGAGCAAGGGCAGCTCAAGGTTAAAAACGAGGAAAGATCCTGTTTCTATTGCGGAAAGGCCGGACATTTCAAGAAGGAATGTCCTAAGCTGCAAGCTGAGATACGGATGGAACAAAGAGGAAACCGTAGCAGGGACACACAGCAAGTTAAGAGACAGGCTGTGGCACCCCGGGTGTACGAGTTGTCCAAGGAAATTGATGAGGCCGGAAGTTACAATGAGATCACTGGTAAGTTTCCTAGCCTATTCAATAATTTAAATTTCGAGCATGGCATTGCATCGAGGTAGAAAGGATAGGGAACTTAGCATTTAGGAAAAATGTGTAGGGACCCTAGAGATAGGCGGTGTGTCAACACACGTCTTATTTGATACCGGAGCTACACATAGTTTTGTGAGCCCGGAAATGATAGGAAAAGGTAGGTTCTGTAGAGAACCTGGGAAAGACTATGGGATAGTCAATGCCGCACGTGGTCAGGTCATGTTCTCGCAGGAAACAGTCCAGGACATCTCATTAATGATCGGGGGTGTGAACCTACCGGCGGACCTGGTCATAGTCCGACTCAAGCATCACGAAGTGATATTGGGAATGGACTGGCTGGGAAAACATAAAGCAACGCTAGACTGTTACCGGGGACGGGTGCGGTTCTAGCGGGATGCTGGAAAGTTGGAGTTTCAAGGAATTCGTCCAACTTCAGGGAGTTTGATTGTCTCAGCAATCCAAGCCGAAAGGATGCTAGAGAAGGGTTGTGAGGCTTACTTGGCCACAATCACGTCGGCCGAAGTGGGCAAGGGTGCCGAGATCAAGGAAATCCCGGTAGTCAATGAATTCGCAGATGTGTTCCAGGCCTTAACAGGTTTACCACCTGACCGGTCCGATCCATTTACGATAGAACTTGAACCGGGAACGACCCCATTCTCGAAGGCGCCTTACCGGATGGCTCCGGCGGAGATGGCTGAGCTTAAGAAACAGTTGGAAGAGCTATTGGAAAAGGGATTCATCAGGCCAAGTAGTTCACCATGGGGAGCGCCAGTTCTATTTGTTAAGAAGAAAGACGGAAGCTTTAGGCTGTGCATCGACTACCGAGGGCTTAACCGAGTAACTGTTAAGAACAAGTACCCATTGCCTCGGATAGACGAGTTGCTGGATCAGTTGAAAGGGGCGACGGTGTTCTCAAAGGTGGATTTGGCTTCGGGTTATCATCAGATTCCCATAGAGCCTACAGATGTGCGCAAGACGGCTTTCCGGACTAGGTATGGCCACTTTGAATTTGTGGTTATGCCATTCGGATTGACCAACGAACCAGCAGCCTTCATGAAGATGATGAATGGGATTTTTCGTGATTGTCTGGACGAGTTTGTTATCATTTTCATCGATGACATTCTTGTTTATTCAAAGGACCGGGAAACGCATCAAGGTCATTTGAGGGCGGTGTTGCAGCGACTAAGGGACCAAAAGCTATATGCGAAATTGAGCAAATGTAGCTTTTGGCAAAGGAGTATTGGGTTTCTAGGTCATATTGTCTCGGACCAAGGTGTATCGGTGGATCCGGAGAAGATCAAAGCCATTGAAGAATGGCCAAGACCCAAGAACGCCTCGGAAATAAGGAGTTTTCTCGGCTTGGCGGGATATTACAGGAAGTTTGTGAATGGATTCTCGAGTTTGGCCAAGTCATTGACGCGGTTGACTGGGAAGGATGTGAAATTCACATGGACAGAGGAGTGTGAAAAGAGTTTCGCCGGGCTGAAGGAGAAATTAACAAGCGCACCGGTTCCAGCCTTACCGGAAACAGACGAGCCGTATGTGGTGTACACAGATGCATCTATAAACGGGCTGGGATGTGTCCTTATGCAAAAAGGCAAGGTGATCGCCTATGCACCAAGGCAGTTACGGAAACATGAAGGGAATTATCCAACCCATGACTTGGAAATGGCGGCAGCAGTCTTCGCACTTAAGATATGGCGATCGTACCTCTATGGAGCCAAAGTGCAAATCTACACCGACCATAAGAGTCTGAAGTACATCTTCACGCAGCCTGAATTAAACCTAAGGCAAAGGCGGTGGATGGAACTTGTGGCGGATTACGACTTGGATATAGCTTACCATCCTGGTAAAGCTAACTTAGTCGCGGATGCTCTAAGCAGAAGACGGTCCGAAGTGGCTGGGGGAAAAGAAGCAGAGAGGCTAGTAAACATGATTGGGACATTGCGCCTAAATGCCTTGTCCACCGAACCGGAACCGTTGGGCTTAGGAGCGGCAGATCAAACTGACCTGCTTACTCGGATTCGGATTGCACAAGGAAAAGATGAGGTCTTGTGTAAGGCAGTGCAGAACGGGAAGACGGAGTACCAAACCTCAAACAATGGCACCATTGTGGTTAATGGCCGGGTATGTGTTCCAGAGGTGAAGGAGTTAAAGGAAGAAATCCTTAGGGAGGCGCATCAGTCTAAGTTCTCGATTCATCCTGGACTTAACAAGATGTACCAGGATCTGAAACGGTATTATCATTGGTTCGGGATGAAAAGAGATGTGGCTGAGTGGGTGGCAAGATGTCCTACTTGTCAACTAGTAAAGGCGGAACATCAAGTTCCGAGTGGGTTGCTACAGAGTTTACCCATTCTGGAGTGGAAATGGGACCATGTAACGATGGATTTCATGACTGGTTTTCCCCGAACAAGGACCGGACGTGATGTGGTCTGGGTTGCGGTGGATAGATTAACTAAGTCTGCTCACTTCAATGCAATTAAAAAGACGGATGGTGTTGAGCAGATTGTGGTCAGATATCTGGATGAGATAATGCGGTTGCATGGTGTTCCGGCAAGCATAGTCTCAGACCGGGATTCGCGGTTCACATCTTTCTTCTGGAGGGCTTTTCAAAAGGCCTTAGGGACAAGATTGAACATGAGTACGGCTTACCATCCGCAGACAGACGGACAGTCCGAAAGGACCATACAAATCCTTGAGGACATGTTACGGGCTTGTGTTCTAGATTGGGGCGGGTCATGGGAGAAGTATTTACCCTTAGCTGAATTCGCCTACAACAACAGTTTCCAAGCCAGCATTGGGATGTCGCCGTATGAAGCCTTATATGGACGGTCGTGCCGAACACCACTTTGTTGGACCCAAGTGGGAGAACGGAGTGTAATTGGACCGGTTATTGTGGAGGAAACCACAGAAAGAATCAAGTTCCTAAAGATAAAAATGAAGGAAGCCCAAGACCGACAGAAAAGCTATGCGGACAAGCGACGGAAAGATCTTGAGTTCGCGGTGGGCGATTTGGTCTATCTGAAGATGATCACGTTCAAAGGAAGGGCTTGGACTTCCAAGAGGGGAAAGCTTGATCCAAGGTACATAGGACCATTCCGAATTATGGAAAAGGTTGGGGCAGTCGCATACAAGTTGGATTTACCACCGGCGATGGAAGCATTTCACAATGTTTTCCACGTATCCCAACTAAGGAAGTGCTTAACAGATCAAGATAAAGTCCTGACCGAGATTCCTTCAGATCTTAAAGAGAATCTGACTGTGGAAACAAGACCAGTCCGGATCATCGACAAGATGGAAAAAGCAACAAGGAAAAAGATGATTCCGATGGTCAAAGTTGTTTGGGAAAGTAACGGTGTGGAAGAAGAAACTTGGGAAACGGAATATCGGATGATGGCTGATTATCCCGAGTGGTTCGCGGAATGGAACAAAGTTCTACCCCTTAGCCCGGATTCGAGGACGAATCCCTCTCAAGGGGGGGAGACTTGTAACGTCTCCGATCCGCAATAGGGTCACCGGAACGGACCATGGCCGTGAGAAAGGGGAATAATGACCGAGAGTCTAAGGAACACATAAGCCATGGTCTGGAATGATGGTTAAGTCTAGTTAAAGTGGGACTTAGCCGGGAAAAAAGATAGGAAGATAGCTCAACGAGTAGGATTGAGCTAAGACGAGCTGGAAGGGGTAAGCTAACTAGCTGGATCAGCTGCCCGGAAGCTCAGCTCAGCTGGATTGAGAGTAGGACAGTTGGTCTAGCTGAGTGGCCAGTGAACTAGCTGGACTGGGGTGGTTATGGGCGGTTATGGCCGAAGGGTTGCAAAGTCTATGCACCCAATCAATGCACCTTTTCGGCTAACAACTCGCGCCTGTTCGCCCAAAACGGTTACCGCAAGGGAAAGTCTATAAATAGATCCCTAGGGCCATATTTTCGGACACGCACAAATAGGGAGAGAAACTCTGCCCAAACTTTCACCAAATTGTGAGACAAAGGCAAACCAAGAGAGGGAAATAACTTGACCGGCGGTGAGGAAATCGACCGGAGCGGCTGGTGCGGGTCGCGGAAGAGAGAAGAGGGAAAGGAACGCGGCCAGAGTAATCGACCGCGGAATTTCTATGGTGCGTTCTATTAAGTAGAAGAGTATGGTTAAACTATCGCACCGCCGGACGAACCAAACGATCGACCCAAGTATGGGCTAGACCGATCGAACGGTAAGCCGCGGCCGAGGCGATAAGAATCCACCGAACGTGCTGACGATCGGCCAAAGTATGGGCTAGGCCGGTCCGATCGCGAGCCTCGGTTGGATTTATAATAAAAGTCGCCGGCCATGGAATTGAGATTGGGTTGGCGATGATGCGCGAGTGGTCACACGAATATTGGCCGGATCCGGTTGGCGCGACGGTGGAGCGGCTTGGGAGTCCGAACGGATCTCGCCAAGACTCGGCCTGTCCAAGGCTGATCCATGATCCGGATTAGAATAGTTTACCGTGGGTCAAATTCAGGGTCGGGAATCATAGGCATGACATGCATACATGTGCATAAATAATACTTAGCCAAAATAGCGAGTACTTACGATGTTGGTTTACAGGAAACGATGAACGCGGAAAGGAAAGAGGATAGGCGCGCAGACCGTTTAGCCAAAGATGATGGGTGGTGTGATAGAGCAGATAGTTAGGATCATACGAACTTATAATAGTTCATATGCAAACTCTTAAGTTGTATTGAATCCTTTATTATATCAATAAAACATCTGTTCTTTTACTTGTTCATTACATATTGACTCTAACTTAGTGAATCTCAGAATACACATATTGAATATGACTTAATCAAAAGACTTGACCCTAAAATTGGACTGATGGGGTCGGAGCCGTATAGCGGTCCGACCGGGAACAACCTCCACGGGCTTAGAGTCCGGGATGGGGTGTTTCAATACCACCGGAACATCAAACAATACAATTTTCCTGGATTTTATGTTATATTTGAAAAGCAAGAAATGATAAGTTGTATTCAAATATTGACAGAGATGCACAAGTAACATTAAAAATAGCAGAAACAGAAGCAGCTATTTGGGACGAGGCACAAAGGGGGGAGGACCAGCCCGAACCCAATCTTGGTAACATGAGTCGAATGCTTACACATTATTCTGGCTGGCGGTGCTATATTGATGGGTCATGGAAAGAGAAGGATAGAGCCTCTGGTTTAGGTTGGTATTTTTGTAAAGAAGGCAATGATGAAATTATTATGGGTGCCAGAAATATCTGGTGAAGTTTGTCTCCATTACATTCCGAGCTGGAGGCCCTCATATGGGTGATGCATTTTATGATTGCCAATGACAGGATGGAGGTCGCGTTTGTCACAAACAGCTCCGACTCGGTGAAGATGGTGTCTA